TGGAAAGCCATCAGAGGATCCCTCTCAGTTCAAACAAGTATCAGAAAAGAGACATACAAGCTAAAATTCCAAAGTATGTTCTGCCAGCCTCTTACATGTCAGCCGACTGAGACAATTTCTCTCTCCCACCCCCCCCTTTCCCTTTTGTCAGGATCTTCTTTTATAGTTTACAACTTTAACAGAATTAAGCTGACTTCAGGGCTGATAGTTTGCTTCTCTTTAATTGGTTTTCAAGCCTGCCAGTCATCTTTTGCTTCATAAGGCCAGCCATGCAGAGGGATGAGAGAAGCTACTTTTCACTAGTTTTCACCACCCAAATATGAAAGGTACATCATTCCCCTCTTCATTGCTCTTTAGAAATTGTCATTTCCTTTCCTACCCCAGCTGATTTTGCAGGTTGCAAGAAGAGTCCGCCTCCTATTTCAGCAAAGTTGTGATGAAGTGATGTACACCTGCATCTCTTTGTTGATTCATAATGTTGGCTACAAGGAAAAAAAATCAAAATCCATGGAGAGAATACCTTTATTGAGCCATCTAAAGTTGTACAAAATCAGTGCAAGTTTCTGAATTTCAACAACTTTTCATCAGGCCAAAAAAAAAAATGTGGATAATCTTAGAATCACGTCTGAACCAGCTTATAGTGTTACTAGAAGTGATGGACAGTCTTCAGACATATATATTCATTTTTATCAGGCTCATACTAGTGTTAAGTCGCAATGCAGGTCCTGCTAAAACTTGCCGAAAAGAAGACACAAACAAACCTTGAAATTCTCAATTTTCAGAAGCATAACATCCTTGCTTTTCACAGTCTCCTTCCATGCATGCCCTTGCTGTGTATTTGCAAGTTCTTGGCAGTCCCATCTCAGCATCCTACATGCCGCAGTTATGCAAGTGTACAGAATTTAAGGAACAATAGAGCATGTGGGAGGAGGTTAGTGTGTGGAGGAGTGGGGAGATGGGGGAATATATCTTTAGTATTCAGGAGATACATCCTTGAGGAATGGAAATGCTTCAGTTTAAAAAGGAAGGTTGGAAAATCCCAGGGTATGGGAAGCTAGGAACTGCCTGTACGCCTCTATTCTGCTGGTATGTGTCAGAGCACCTGTTTGCCTTAGTCCCATGTTTTCTTTTCAATCTTCCTCCCTCTGGCACCCTGTAGATGGGTTGGACTGGATATGCCAGGATGTCCAATGGTTGTTTTAGTTTAACACATTGGGGAAGACTGGGCTTTCAAACTGCAACACATACACACACACTCTTCCTAGCAGGGCTTCTGTGACTTTGAACAATTGGATGAGAGGCCGAAATTCTGAAACTGTCGCCTTTTCCAGTACAAGGAGAATTCATTCGGTTGAGTTTCTCCATTCACACAGGTGTCAAAGGCAGAGAATGTGAATGGCTTTGGGCTTCAGAAAGGTATGTCAAATGAACATTTCTGTCCAGCTCAGTGAGACTGCTTATAGAACGGAGTCCTCTTTTAGCAGAGAAAATGGGATTTTCTGAGTTTCCCCTCTGTTTCCAAAGGACAGCAAGAAGTGGCTGTTCAGCTTTGTGGTTCAGGAGGGTTTGTTCACCTGGGAGCTGAAGAACATTGGACTGGAATGGGAGCATCAAGTCGTAACTGCCTGGGAGAAAAGAGTAAAGTGGTCCTGACAGACATGGGGGGTGGGGGGAACGCCTTTCTTCTGGGTTCTTAACAATGTAGAGTTAGTTGTCATGGCAACTGTTTGGCAAGTCAGTGGCAGGCAGAGCCTACGTTTGTCTCCTGTTGAGCCGCACCAGGGATCAATTTAGCATCCTTGCCTGTTGCAGTGGTAGTAAAATATGTGGTTTCTGTGCCAAATGTTAGTGGAGCTCAAGATGCAGAGGGACATAATTCATGATTTAGGGATTGGTTATCCCTTGGGATTTTTAAAAAAAAAGTAATAGTGACTGATTCTGTTTTTCGATGGTAGCGTAATATAGAAGGGGCAATGATAGCATTATACATCATGAGCTTTGGTCCTCTGTGATACCAGGGTGATATAATAAAGAAGCATATCAATTGAAATACAGACATTAATTGGATGTCAGATGAGCCAGGTTGGAATCTGGATTCAAATTTCTGCTCAGTGATACTCAGCTGGGTGGCTTTAGTCCAGCCAGATATACAGAGACTTCAAGTCCCAGAATTCTCAACTGGCATGGTGATTGCTGAGAATTCTGGGAGTTGAAAACAATACACCTGTAGGGTACGCAGGTTGGAGAAGGATATCTTATCCTCATAGGGCTATTGTGATGATAAAAGGAGGGTAAAACCATATATGCTGCTCGTGCTCTTTGGAGAGAAGTTGGGATATAAATGTAGTAAGTAAACAATATGATTCTTCTGCTGTTTAGCTGAAAGGGCACAGACCCCTGTAACCCCTTTCAGCTGGGCAGGCTGTTTCTCTACAGACCTTCCCCACTGATCCAGGGAAACTAGACTGAGTGGGGCAGAACCAGTGCATGTGTCTCCATCTCCCACTCCTGCGTTGTTTTTTTCAAAATATTCCTAGATGTATGTATGTATGTATGTATGTATGTATGTATGTATTTGTTCATAAGATTTATATGGCTGCCCATCTTAAGCAACTCTGGGCAGCTCACAACAACAATAAAACCAATAACTGTGAAACAATCATAAACCAATAAAACAAAAACCCTGTACCTTAATCATCCCACTGGGATGCCCCGCAGCAAGCTCCAGTTGTCTTCATTCCATACGTTCTGTCTATACAATCCTGTTGCAGTGCCTCTGTAAAAAGCAAGGTCTTAATGGCCTTCCGAAGGGCTAGAAGGGTGGGGAGCCTGCCGAATCATCAGGGGGAGGGTGTTCCACAAGGAAAAGGGTGGTTCCATCAGGGGGAGGGTGTTCCACAAGGCAACCACGGAAAAGGTACGCTTCTGAGGTCCCACTGGGTGGCAGGATTTCAGGGAAGGGATTAGAACGTGCCTACCCCATCTGATCTCGTGGCATGGGCAGATATTCTAGGGAGAAGCAGTCCTGCAAATAACCCGGCCCTCTGCCATGTAGGGCTTTAAAGGTGATAACCAGCACCTTGAATTGCGCCTGGAAGGACACTGAGAGCCAGGCCAGCTCATGCAATAAAGGTGTAACATAGGCAAACCTATGAGCCCCCAATACTGTGCACACCAGTTGTAACTTCCAAGTGGTCTTCAAGGGCAGCCCCATGTAAAGCACACTGCAATAATCCAACTGGGAAGTGACTAAGGTGTGAGTGACTATGAGCAAGGCCTCCCGGTCCAGGAAAGGGTGCAATTAGTGCACAAGACAAATCTGTGCAAAAGCCCCCCTAAGCCATGGCTGCCACCTGCTTATCAATATATTAAATATAGTAGCTTATTTTGACAAGGATTGTATTTGTCACCCTGTTTCCATCACGTAATGGTAAGTGGGAATGACCTTGGGAGACAGGGCAAAGAGATGCAACCAAGGAACAGTAAGATAAAAGGCAGCTGAGCCCACAGCAGGAATGTGGGCAGGGCAAGAAGCTCAGAAGAGACCTCCCTAATTTCTTGGGCTTTATAGGAGACAGGGAAAGAGATATAATTTCAGACTTACAAGATTCTGTTAATGTAGCTTTACAATAAAGTAGAATTAGCTCATTTGGTCATGTTTCCTGTCTGGTCTACCTCGTAAGGTTGACATATCTTGAGGGAAATACTTCAGGGAGTGTAACTGACAAGAAAGTAATATCAGATTGATTTACAGGAAGTCCTTGAGTTACGACCATTCGTTCAGCGACTGTGTGAAGTTATGATGGCACTGAATGAAGGGACTTATGACCAGTCCTCGAAATTCCGGCCGTTGCAGTGCCCCAGCAGTCACATGAACAAAATTTGGGTGCTTGGCAACCAGCTCACACATGACTAGTTGCAGCATCCCACAGTCATGTGATCACTGTTGTGACCTTTTCTGCCAGTTTCCCACAAGCAAAGTAAACGGGGAAGCCAGCAGGGAAGGTCACAAGTTGTTCGGGTAAGTCTCCCCCACCCCCACAGCCTTTTTTCACTTGCACACACTAGCACCCTCCTTCCCTGGCCTCCCTGCACTCACACACAAGCAGACACACACCAGTGCCCTCCTTCCCTGGCCTCCCTGCACTTGCACACAGGCACACACACACCAGCACCCTCCTTCCCAGGGCCTCCATGCGCTCACTCACAGGCATAGACACACCAGCACCCTGTTTCCCTGGCCTCCCTGTGCTTACGCCACACTGCGGCACCCCCCAGCTCACGTGCAGTCTACACCCAGCCTCCCCACCCCCCGCATCACTTCTGTGCTTCTGGTTGGTTCTCCATACAAGATATTTTTTTCCAGAAAATATACATGGAGAAAGGCTTATAATCTTCGGTTTGGTTGCTCTTGACACAGAATGTGGATTTTGATGCAACATATGCATAGCCCATATAATCATCACTTTAGCCAACTTTGGGGAGAGGAGGAAAGGTCATGAATGCCCTTTAAATACTAGAGCATCTTTATCATTCCAAACAAAAAATAATACTTCTCTTCACTTGTTTTCATTGCAGAATGTTGTCTCTAAATATGGTGCACAGTTTCGTGGAAATGCACAACATGATGCCCTGGAGTTCCTTTTGTGGTTGCTGGATCGCATGCATGAAGATCTGTGTTCTGTTTCTTTTAATCAAAAACTAAAGATGTCTGGAAAGGTCAGTGACTGGCAGAGAAATTTATCTTTTTACCCTGAAAGCTCACTAAACTTCTGTTGCTAATACTGTATAGTGTTTCAGGCAAAATACACACAGAATTGTAGAATCACTTAACTGGTTGTCAGTCGATGGAATATGCCAACGTGACATTTATAACCAAGGTGGTCTGCCAAAATCAGCCCATTTCCTTCATGGCAGTAGATTTTCTCTTCAAGGAAAGAGTTCTCCAATAGGAATAAGATTTTCTGCTGTGTAGCAAAGCATTGATGACCTAAAAATGGAACCATGGTTATTGTTCCCAATTAATTACTTAGAACAGGGATAGATAACCTGGTACCCTCCAGGTATTTGGATCGACTGCTGTCTCTATGGAGCGCTGGCAGTGGACTGTGGATGCTGTCATCAAGAATCTTTGAAATGTTGCATGTTAAGAATTGCTACCTTAAAGTATCAGGGAGGCTTGCTCCCAGGCAAAAATTCCTCATTTCCTAAATGCATATGATTATTCCGCCCTCTGAATGAGGTGTTGGTCTAAGACTTGAGGCTTAAGTCTGTCTCCAGCCATGGAACAACTGGGGTAGTCATTCTGTCCCAGCACAGCCTACAGTATTTCACAGTGGTGTATGGGAATAGAATGGAGATCTTCCTCTAAGCCTCCATAACCTCAAGCTCATAACATAACAGTAACAACAATAATAATGCAAAATTTTGATACCTAGCTAATTGATGTACTAGCAACTCAGTGCCTTGCCAAGAGGTCTCAGGTAAGAAAACACTGGCTGACTGAGATGGGACATCTGCCTTCAAACTAAAGTAGTATTTTGATGGTTTGAGACCAGAAAGTTTTCCTTCTTTTTTTTGCTCATTTTCTCTCCCTGAGCTAAGGGATGGGGTAGGGTGAGGTCTGCCAGAACTGACTTTTAAGTTATTGTCAAATGCAAATATTAGCAAATGATCAGTGGTATCAAATGGAGACAGAAACTGTGAAAATGTATGTGTGTGCAGGGGTGTGTATATGGACCATTAGGTTAATGGAAATAATTTAGAAGAACTTAATAATTTTTAAAGTATAATATTCATATTACAGAGATGCACCAAGAGATGATGTTTGGCAAAAAAAAAATAAAAAATTAATCCCTCACTAAACCATTAGTGCACTTCTTTTATGCTTATTCTTTTTCTTCCAGAGCAGTTCTCTTTCACAGCCATACCCATGCCCATCTCTAAAATCCAATGTATTTTTCTTCTGAACCAAAATGTTTCTGTATATTAAAACTAGATCTGAAAGAATCAGTAGATTGTGGAGTCCTTGGGGTTCTCTGAGCTTGGTTGTTTTCTTGCAAACGTTTTGTTACCCGGCTAGGTAACTTCTTCAGTGCATCTTCAGGACTAGTTGTTAGTCTGAGGATGTAATAATTAAGAATAAACCTATGTGTGTGTCTGTTGAAGTTGTTTGTGACATTTAGAGTTTTTTCATGCTGTAACTTTGGGATTTTTCTTTTCTATGGCTTAGTATGACTATTTTAAGTGTTGGATTCTGCTTTTTTAAGATCAAGGAGATATAAATGGGAGATGTGTGACCAAACTGTCTAGATCTTTGGTTAAAAGCATTAGGGTTTGCCCCCCGCACCTCCTGATTATGGTTTGACTACTGTACATAATTTACTCCCTCAATCAGTGAGATACACCATAAGCTGTTTCACTTTACCAACCAGATTACCAATAACTAAGGAAGGAATATATTTAGTAAGTTTATCCCACTGTAATTAATCCTATTGTATTGTTATGTATATTCTTTTTTTATTTCCAAACAAAATTCTTTTTAATGAAGGCCCACAGCAAGCTAGTGGTGGGGTTTTGATAAGGGCTGTGATTCCAAGGGAAGGAGACTTAACTCTTCTGTCCAGTGCCCTATCTGTGGCTGAATTCAGCCTCACAAGACACAACTGGAATTAGCTATAAATATAAAACACCTACCTATATTTTATCTCCCTGTAGCTAATAGTAGCTTTGGAAGAGACAGAGAAACATGCAGGTCAGGGCAAGAAGCATGGAAGAAAAGGTAAATAAGCAGGTCCTCATTTCAATAGAAGAAAATTTATGTAATTCAGGGTTGAACTGTGGAGTCCTTGGTGCTCTCTGAGCTTGGTTGTTTCCTTGCAGATGTTTAATTACCCGACTAGGTAACATCATCAGTGCTAGTGAGTGTGAGATTTGCTCCCTGTTTGTTGCTCCCCAAATACACTAAGATCGAAATACCCAGAATCATGGTCCTCATCAACTTCTGTCTCACTACGAACTTTCAGTTTGATAGACAAATATACCAACAAATCAGAGGAACACCCATGGGATCACTACTCTCAGGACTCATAGAGACCGTATGTGTCTAGAAACTATAGCACTCCCACACATACAACCAAAAGAATGGTTCCAGTATGTAGATGACACCTTTGTCAAAGTAAAAAAGGAACAACTAGAGAAGACACATGAAATAACATCTTCAAAAGAATAAAATTCACAAGGGAAGAAGAAAACAACAACACACTACCCTTTCTGGATATCCTCATCAGCAGAGGAAATGATGGCAAATTAGAAATGCAAGTCTATCAAAAAACAACTGACACTACCAAGTGCTCCATTATCAAAGTAACAACCCAACCCTCCCACAAGAGGAACTGTGTAAGAACACTATTCAGATAAGTACAAATGCACTGCAGCAACCCAGAACACCAGAAAAAGGAAACAGAACACCTATAAAACATCTTCCAACAAAGTGGATACACACACAACTTTATCAAAAAGTGCCTGACCACTCAACCCACTGTAGCACAACCAACACAAGCTATGAAAAGGATAACACTGCCGTACATCAAAAACATCTCAGAAACAACCAACAGACTATTACAACCACATGGCATCATCATAGTATACAAACCAACTAAAGCTTTCCAAAACATTTTAAGTAAACCAAAAGACCCAGTAGCCTAAGAAGAAAAAACAGGAGTCATCTACAACATACAGTGTAGGGATTGAACCAGCCACTGTGTAGGACAGACAGGCAGAAGGCTAGCAGAGAGCATCCATGAATACCAGCTAGTAGTCAGAAACTCCTTAATCTCACAACACATGGACAGACTCAACCATAGTTTCAACTGGGAAACTGTGAGCATCCTAGACCAAGCTA